TCCAAGGGCACACTGAGCTGAATGACCAACCCCTCCCTTCCCTTCTCCTGTATACCCTGAGGAAGGGAGCTGCACTTCAGTGCCTCACCCCCAGCCCTGCCTATAAGGCACCGTGGTGTGGGGAGTCTCGAGCAGAGTGGTTCAGAGTGAGGTGCTCTGGGTTCCAATCTCAGTGTGGGCGTTTTCTACCTTTGCCCAAGTGTCTGCTTTGTTCTGGCTTCTTGCACTGAGTCTGCCTCCCTGGGCACAGACTATCCTTGCCCTGGCACACAGCAGAGTGATCTGAAATGGTCTGCTTGTGCAGTAAAATGAGGTGCTTGTTGCAATGGGAACACCAGCAACTGCACTGCCCATCCTGCCAGCCCCGGTCTCCTCAGCTGTAGAGTGGGGAGACCGACTGCCCTGTATACACGTAGCCCACATTTTTGGGACTGTTTCTCCTTCTCCTGAGTGCTGGCTCACCCCCTGATGATCGATAAATAGAAGCTCCTTCTGGAGTCTTAACCATAAGTACAGTTCTACACATTTTTTCTTTTCTCATTTGGTATCTATTAAGTTGTGATTAGTAATAATCAAAAGGTTATTAAAGATCACCAAAAGTAGATCTCTATTTTAGGGTTTGAATGAGAATTCTGACTACTCACAAGACCAAGTTCCTGAGACGTGAGCTCAGTTTTGAGCTCCAGGCATGTGGGCAACACCCGCTGCTAGGATGAGGCCATGGCTGTGGCCTTCAGCGGGCTATGTTCTCAATCACAGCTCTCTGGCTGGTATGAGGTAAGCCCTTGCAGCTCTGTTCATGGTCAGTGGTTGCCTGGTAAGGATCAAACGTGCATATCACACGCACACATGAATGATAATAGGGGTCTGGGGCTTTCCAGTAACACGACTTTAAGCTCCAAATGCTCCCCAGTGCTAAAGCAGACACACACACGAACTGCTCCAAATCAGCTGGTTCAGGAGCACCCTGTGGGAGAGGGGCCACCTACCATGAATTTGGGCCATTCAAAAAGCTTGCCACATCATGGCAGGTACACAAAACAACAGCCCTGGGTGATTTTAGATTTATACAACATTGTTTCAGGAGATAAGATCATGGGCACATGTGCACCCTTTTCCGTCCTGGAGTAAATGCACGGTGACTCAGAGCTGTCATTAGGAATAAGTCTATTCAGCTTCTGATTCTTCTCTAGTTGGGAGTCATCAAGGTGTTCTTTTCTCCCTGCTAAGTGGGAACAGGAGGGGCTGCAGAAGCTGTTGTCTCACCCACCATCCAGCCTGCCTCTGTGAGTGAGTGCAGATGCTGGCGCACTGATGCAGAGGGGAGGGTGGCAGCGGTGGGACAGATGGCTTGCCAAGATGAGCCTTGGGAGAGCAGCCTCCCAGGCACAGTGTGTCTCCAAGCACCACATGGGTCTCCCAGCTCCAAACTCTTGGAAGACATGACTGCTCTCTAGGGTTATGAACAGGGCTGATAGAGAGGGGAGGGGCGACACAGACAAACCATGGGCAAAGCCCTCAGGCACTCTGCTCCCTGGCTCCAACCTGTGAGATGGAGATAACAAGACCCATTCCAGCCTATGACCCTCAGGAAGTATAAATGATGCTATGACACAGACAGAAACCTCCACCTCTTCCATGTCCAGTGCCTTCCTCCAACTACTCTCTACCAGCAGAACTCCCCAGCAGGTTCCTATTGGCAGCTTGCTGGGCCTCCTATTCCCTCAGGAAGTACAATTCTGCAAATGGCAAGGTCTTTGAAGGGAGATGTTTGGTAAATATGGGGCCTTCCAACCTTGAGATCTCCCAAGACTCTCTGGGAAGGCTCCTTGGGTATCAGGAAGGATGGGGCCATCCACAGCCCTCTGATTTCCATAGTACATTCTGAGGAGTCAACAGCCCTAGCATCAGGACCCTTGTCTCTGAGGCAAGAGTCTGTGGCTCCTTAAAACATACTGTTTGCATATTACGGTTTGGCTTCACCTCATGAACCTGAGGTCCAAGTGTCCTTTCTAAAATTCAAACAGGAATTATGAGTTGCTAGGGGTCAAACCAGCCCAAAGTCATGCTTTGTTCAGTACAGACAGTTCTGGTTTTTAATCAGGAGATATTATGTAAAAATAAAATTAGAAAAAATGAGACCCCAGGCCTACAGTCCCATATAGTGAGAGTTGGCAGGACCCACACAGCAGTCTCCAGGTCACCACATCCCCACCACTCCCCATCACCTGCCACCTGGCCTCTTCAACACCTGCTTGGCCCTGCTGGCATCTGACCTTGCAACCTGAGGTGAGGCTGATAGGAGGAAACCCAGGGGACTCTTCATTCTGCCTTTCCAAGCCCGGATGCCCTGTAGAGCTGGCAGCGAGGCCCATGAGGTGCATCTGAACCCAGCCAGCCCTGTCAGAGCTACAGGCTGGGAGCCTTACCTCACAAGGCACCAAAACCCAGACTTCCCCACCCTGCATGTCCAGGCTGCAGCTAGCAATGAACTCTTTCTCCCTTCACCTGGCACTGGATGGTTCAGGCTGCCTAATTCTTTCACAATTAAGGCACTTCAAAAAGGTTAAAAGGGAGGAATCAGCAGGGAGTGGGTGTGGGAGGGATGGAAGGTGGTGGGTGGGATGGAGGAATCTGACCAGTAATATTAACAAAAAGCTTAAAAGCCACAAACAGGAAGCAGGCAGACTAAAAAGTCAACAATGACCTGACAAAGGAATGTGAACTCCAGTGGACTGAGGCAGTGTCCCTACACCCCTCCTCCCTCCACTCCCACCTCAGCACCCCAAGAGGGGCCCTGAATAAGACTCCTCTTGGTTCTTGCCTGCCCTGGGAAGACCCCAGCTCTGAGTTTGCCTTGGGCTATAGGAAGGGAGCTCAGGGGAGGTCAGCATGATCCTGGCAGTCCCCAAAGGAGGAAACCATGAGCTCTTCCCTCTGCCTGGCCCTGCAGGGCCCCAGAACTGTTTAGAAGAAGGATGAGTACTCTGCAGTATGGCCCCCGACCCAGCTGAAGGGTTCTTCCCTTCCAGAAAGCTCACACTAGCCTGGATAGGCATAGGCACGAGGCCCTTGGGGACTGAGGTCTGGATGCTGGCCTGCCTGGCTCATGTCCCCTGCATGCTCCCTGGAGCCCAGAGAATAGCCCTGTGGGCTCTAGTCTCTGAGGACAACCCATAGCCAAACTGGGGGGATGCCCAAAGACTCCTGTTTGGCTGAGGTGATGACTCAGCCACTAAGGAGCAGCAGGGAGGACAGGACAGAATTTCAGAATTTTAGAGCTTCACTGCTGGAGGCCTCCCATGGCTCAGTGCCTCGCCTCCCCAGCCCCAGCCCCACCTTGACAGAGTCCTTAGGAGCTGCAAACAGGGAGCAAAGTGCCCTGGAGAAGCACAGCCTCTGTGACCTGAGAAGGCAGATGCCATCTCTGGGCAGTGAAAGGATTTAGGAAGGAAAGGATTCCCTGTTAGGAGAGGGAAGGGTGCTCATGCCCCCTGTGAGCACTGAGGCAGCTGGGGTCTCTGTTTTCCAGCTGGAGCCAGGGTGCCACCTTCTCCTGAGGAAATTTGACACAAGAAGCCATAAAGTGACCTTGGTTGCTTCCCTGATCTAAACCTCCCCATGGCTTTCCATCCTTGCAGGATCACCCTTGAGTCCTGGAGTTATGCAGAGGACAGTAACATGTCAACATGCAATCAGGTGTAGGCAAAAGTGTTTTCTGTAAAATTCTTCAACTTTGCTGTCTGTTTGAAAATGTTCGTAATTTTTATTTTATTATGAAATACAACAGAATTGTACTGAATCAGCTGTATCTGGTACAATTGTGCAGGGAATAAATGGGAGCTGGCAGAGGTGGTACACAACTGAGTCCCAGCTACTTAGGAGGTTGAAGCAGGAGGATGGTTTGAGCCTGGGAGGTCAAGGCTCTAGTGAGCTTTGATTGCATCATGGTATTCTCTTTCAGTGACAGAGTGAGACCCTGTTGCTAAAATAAAGGTAGTGGCTCATGGTCCATTCATACGAACACAGCCTTCAGTCCTTCCCACAGCCCCTGATGCACAGTATGAGCCCTTGCTCGTGTCCTGCACACCTCTCTGCTCAGCACACTTCTGCCAAACAACTGGCCTGCAAATGTACCTGGAGCTCACTATCACCCCAGGGCCTTTGCATTCACTTCCCCCTTGCTGTGGCATGCTCGCCCTGACTACCCATGTGGCTCCCTCTCTCCCTCCATCCTTCCCTGATCACCGTATACAAAGCAGCATGCTCAGCAATTCCATCCCATCCCTGCTTTATCTTTCTACATGGCGCCTATTGCCATCTGACAGGGATTTCTTTAGTATGTTTATTGTTTGCCCCTCCTACAACTGTAAGCTCCATATTCCCAGCACCAAGCACAATGCCTGTGATGCAGAAGAACGCGATGCACTGTAGGCTGAAAAAATAAGGATGAGTTCACTGACAAAACCCAAGGGCTCTCTTTCCAGCAGCAAACACACTCTTGGACCCAGCCCGTGGACAGACCCCAGCACAAACCCAGTGCGAGGTGCTGAGGCTGGAGGTCTGTGCTGGGCAAAGGAGGGGTGGCAACTCACATCTCTGGAAACCCCACCAGTGCCAGGATGGTATGCCAGGCCCCTATTGGTCTCTCTCACCTGCTCTCCTCCAAACTGCTTGTAAGCTCAATCTTACTCCTGCCTCCACAGAGAAACCAAGTGGCAGGCCCGAGGCTCCCTCAGATGGTAAATGATGCAGTGGGAACTCAGATGCCAATCTTGATCCTGCTCAGACTAGACCTTCACTCCACGTCCAGGCTCTTCTTGGAACCCATACTGGCTTCCCAGCCAGAGGCCACGCCACCATGCAGGCCAAGTCACCCTGTGTCTTGGCAAAGGCAGGATTAGGAACCTGAGCCAAGGAGTGCTGTCTCAGCACCACCTCTGCCATCTCTCTGTGCCCTGCACAGTGTTCCTAAATCAGGAGGAAGTGGCTGCACTTACCTGGGATGTGGATCTTGAACTTGCCGCTCTGGCCGAAGGCACTGTCGATGATGCCCAGTTCCCCAGTGGACAGGTGCACCTTGAGCCCCAGAAAGAGCTGGATGTTGGTCTCCTTTTTGAACAGGGAGCGGCCGATCACACTGTAGTCATCCATTGCCTGTCCCCACACACCCAGCCAGAGAGAGAGGGTATTAGTGGTGCACACTGAAAGAGCTGTGACTGTGCCTAGCCCCAGCTCTCCCAGGCCCTAGACATGGCTGGCTCCTGCCCCTCTAGGAACCCTGTGGGTAGCAGGGCAATGAGCCCACCTAACAGATAATGAAACACTTGGGAGCAGGGCAGAAACCTGAAACTGGCAACTACCACAGTAACAACGGGCCCCTCAAAACAGGCACGCTGCGAGCACTTTCCACAGATAGCATCTCAGTCCCCACAGCAGCTCCATAGTGTCACTTGACAAATGAGGAAATGGAGGCCCAGCAGTTCTGTCATCTCTCCAAGGTCACAAAGCACAGGGGTAGAAGTAGCTTTGAATTCAAGCCCCTGTTGCAGTGGCCTTCTCACCCCCTGTGAGGCTGTCACATGGCCTAGCCTGTCCCCAGGGCACCTGCCTAGACAGCCAGCAGTACTCTCCTTGAAGCTGACAGACACCCAGGCCACTCTTGAGCCTGCATCCAAGGCCTTCTAGAACAGACCTCCTCAGTCCAATTTCCCCTCCCACAGGAACCCCTGAGAGCCTGGCCTTCGTCTCCCATCTACTGCACACACCCCTATGCACCTCAGCCCGAGGCTTTACTCCTGCTCACCCTAGCTGTACCTGGAAGCCCCTCTTGGCCTGGCCCACTTTTCCTCCAAAGCCCTACCTCCCTTCCTCGACAATGCCCTCCCTAGTCCAGGCAGAATTGCTAGTTTCCCCCGGACCTGCTGGCCATGGCCAGGCCTTTACTGCAGAGCTCGTGTCTCCTCCTGGCCACCGTGGCCACTGCTGTCCCTTTGTGGGTGACCAGGCTGAGAGGAGGGACACACATGTCCTTGTAAAAGTCAGCTTGGTGCAGCCCTGATTTCACTATGAGCTATGTTCATCCTGAATCTTCTCCCCAGAGGCTTGATCAGGGACTGGAAGGGTCACTACCTCCCTCTGAGCCTCTGGCAGCACCAGCCCAGGTACTGCCTTTGGGATGGCAGCATGGCCAGGTAGCCTTGCCTGCCCCGCCCAGCTCCTCACCACCCCTGCCCTGTAGATCTTGCCTTCAATAGCAAACTTGCGCCCCATGATAAGAAGTGCCCACCAGTCTGGCAGCTGCTACGGAAATGACCAATGGACATACCATCTGGACCAACAATTTCACATCTAGGAATGCATCCCACTGATGTGCTTCCTGGAGAAGATGTCAGGAGAGGATGGGAAGCCGCCCAAGGTCACTCACTGCAGCAGTGTTTATAGCAGCAAAAGCTGACAATGACTTAGAAGTCCAGCCTACAGTGCCCCCTGTGGCCCATGGCTCTCTCATCCCGTACTCCAGCCCGGACTCCTCTTCAATCTTCATCCTGCCCTGTCTCTCTTCAGAGCACAGATCACCACCTGACATTATGCCAACGACCTTATCTGTTTACTTGTTTATTGCTTCCAACCAGGACACAGGCTCTAGGCAGAAACATGTCCCTCTCCTCCATAGCTACATTCTCTGCACATAAAATAGGCGCTTACTTGCTATTCCTTGAATGTGTGAGCAAATGTTGCATGAATACATGGCTATAGTTGTTGGTACATTTCCAAGGCTCACTCATGCCTGGAGCCTTTTTTTTTTTTTTTTTTAAACAGCTTTATTCAGCTATAACTGATATACAATAACAGGCACGTTTAAAGTAAATAACTGGATAAGTCTAGATACACACACACACACACACACACACACACACACACACACACACACCTGTGAAACCATCACCATGATCAAGCTAATGAACATATCTATCACGCCCAGGGTCCTCATGGCCATGTTATGCATCCCCCCTTATCTGTGTAGTCCTCATGTAATGCTCATCCCAGCTTGTCCAACGGGGACTCTACCCCCACCCAAGGCCCACCTCGGGCATTTCCTCCTTCAGACAGCTTCACTGACACTGCAGGTACCTCCTCTCCTCTTGGCCCCCACGATTGAGCCAAGACCCCTCTGTTCTGAGAGGCTGGCCACTCTACTCTCTTATCCCTGACAGCTGACTTGTCTGTTTCCCTCCCCAGACTGTGCGTTTTGCAAGGAAAGGGTTCTGTGTAACTCACGTGGCCCTGACCCACCACAGGCCTGGTGAATGAGCACTCACTGAGTATGAGGAGGCCAACTGCACTAGTTCCACACACGGCACCAAGGAGGAGATGCTGGAGGTAGAAATAAATTACTCAAGCAGATGTGTCCCAAGGATATGATTCACCTGAGAGTGAGGCAATAGCCCAGCCCAAGCTAGTTTCCTCCTGTCTACATGGGAGAACACACTGACAGAGCAGTCCACGTCCCCAGTGCTGGTTCTCTCATGCTAAACACAGCAGGCCCATTGCTCAGCCTCCCAGTAGGCCTGGAGGCCTGGCTCCAGGGTAATCAGAGCCTGGGATGGCAGGCATGCTACCTATTAGCCTTCTAGAGGACATTTACTGCATTTTCTCCCTTGCCCCTCCTCTCTTTTGGCTATAAAATATTAACTTTAAAAAGCTAAATGCCACAAAGACAGCAGAGGATCCATCTTTCCCCAAGCCAGGGCCTTGCAATGAGGGCAGACTAATTTTATTAACTTCAGGGGAACTTCAAAAAGCTTCAGGGCTTTCATGCCAGACAGAGACGACCCCAAAGTTAGTTTAAGTGCTACATAAACAAAGGACTAGGGCCAGGGGAAGCTGAGGGCTCCCAGCGTTCCTTGTTTATGTTCTCATCTGACCTAGTGGGCCAGGGCGCAGGCTGGTTGGCCCCCGGAATCCTGCTGGTGTGTGGTGCGGCTCAGTTCACTGACCTACATTCCCACAATATTGTTTTAAGCATCTGGGATAAGGTGAGGATCGAGTGGGCTTTTTTTGACCTCCTGAGGAGGGCCTCTGGGGCTGGAGTGGCAGTTTAGAAAAGATTTCAAGTTCAAAGGGAGTGTCTCTGTCACTCCTGTTCTCTTGTTTTATGGGTTGGCCAGAAGACACAATAGCGCTGAGTGGGTGAAGCCTCTTTCGAACTTCTGTGTCTGCAGTTCCATTTCTGGGGGAGGCATAGGAGGGCAGGAGCTAGTTGTCTGCACACGGCCAGGAACCCAGTGTGGTCTTGGGAGTGCTGGTGTCTACTGGCCCCACACTGTCATTTCACAGCAGCTGGGTGGATCTTTGCATTTATGTCAGTTCCACAGAGGACACTGGCACTCTGGGTATGGCTGCCCCAGGGGAGGGGAGGCTGAGGCAGCAGAGAAAAGTCAGTAAGTAAACCCCATCTCCCTCTGACTCTCCCAATCCTTTGCATTCTGCTCTCTCACCCCTTTCCCTGCAGCAGGTGAGCGGTGGTGTCCTTAGCCGAGCCATGGGTCAGGCACCCCCTATCATTATTTAATCTTTAGAAAGGCCCTGTTGGGAATAGGAGGCTCAGCAAAGTGAAATGACTTGCTCAAAGTCACAAAGCTAGTGAGTAGGGCAACGCCCCATTCCAACTTGGACTGTCTGGATCCAGAGGCTGGTGCTTTTCCTGCTGCACAGAGCCCCTAAGGCAGGGCTGCGCTCTGTCTGCCCTGCACAGGAGCCCAGGGGAGGGGAGGGGCCGCAGCAGCAAATGAGCTTTCTCCATCCTTTGGGCTTGCAGAGTCGTGCCATGACTGGCTAGACACATATGGGCCTGGAAGCCTGTCCCAGGGGCACTGGGCAGCCCCATCCCTGCCAGTCCCAGCTGTGGGAAACCCCAAGTCACTACAGAAGACAATCCTCAAGTTCAGGGACCCCCAGCCCCGCCACCAGGTTATTTAGAAAGGAGGAGGAGAGGAGGGTATGAGGGCAGATCTTGGCCCTCAAGGTGCAGCACTTGTAGTAGGGCCCGAACACGTCACCATCACAGGAAGATGTTTCCAGCCCAGTCGGCTCCTGCCACACTGAGAAGGACTGCACTGCTGTTGGAGGGAGGCTAAATCATCCCCACCTACAGTTATAGGGGCCACAAGGCAAGCTACCCTTCTTGTGAATTCCAAATACTCAATTTCCAGTAAAGTAAGTCCTTACTTAATGTTATCAATAAGTTCTTAGAAACTTACTTTGAACAAAATAATGTACAGCGGGCCCTTAAATAATCTTGCTTCATTCAAAGTTGTTTCATTATAACATTAATGTAAAAAGGAAATTGGTTTGTTATACATCGTTTTCCTTAAAACTCGTGGTTTCCAAGAAGCTAGTGACAATGTTAAGTGAGGATATACTGTACAGGTCTCCATAACTGAAAAAAGTGGGCACACTGGAGACGACAGAAGAGAAAAGGCACAGCACTGTTTGTACCACAGGTTAGAACCTGGACTCTGGAGCCAGACTACCTGTGATCAAATCCCAAGTCTGGGTGCCTAGGGACTCTGGCCAGAGGCCTAACCTCTGTGGGTGCAGGCATCTCCATCCTAATATGGGGAAACAGAGTTGCCAGAGGTTTAAATGGGTGCAGGGGAGCACTTGTAAACAGAGCTGTGTTGGTCTGGCCTCTGCCTGCCCCCTCCCTGGGCAGAGCACTCTCCCTCCCTCAGGACTCCCTCAGACACACCACACAGGACTGCAGGGATAACAGAGGCAGGGCCTGTGCACCCCCTAGACTCAATGGCTGCCACCTACATATCTGAGAAGACAATGCTGACTAATGGAAGCCCCCCTCCAAGAGCCTGCTGGCCTTGGAACTGGACAGATGGCTGTACTGGGAACGGGCTATGGTGAAGCCTGTGTGCCTGACTCTCAGCACAGCAGTGCCTTGCCTACACCAGACTCTCCAGCTGGATATGGGGAGGGGAGGAAGCCAGTCCTGGAAGGCAGGAGCTGGCCTGAGCACATCTTTGCATCTCCAAAACCTACCCCTCCAGAAATTACTGCTGTGTGCGCTGGGAGCAAGGACTCAGTGATTGTCTGCTGCATGAAACCTCATTTAATCCAAAGGAAGTCTGGCTAGAAAGAGG